TATAACTTAACTATTTTGAACTAATTTAAGTAATTTTATAAATTATTAGGATCAGAGTTAAGGTTAGGGTTTAAATTGGCTCAAATTAGTTAGGTTTTATATATTAAAATCTTGTAATATTTTATATATGCCCACCTATACTAAAGGAGATCTATTTTTTCTTTATTATATTCTAATAATGCAATAGTTTTATATAATGAAGCAGGACAATTAAGACTCGAAATTTAGATACCAAGAGTTATTTATTTATTTATTTATTTATTTAAAGGCAAAACTATTTTACTTTATATATTTAATCTTAGTGAAATATAGTACTATAAATTCTAATTATTCTATTTATTTTGAATACCAGGTTATTGCAGTATTTTCAGAAAAGTTGATCTTGCCTTTTACAACATATAGTATTAAACTTAGAAGTGAATCCTGGGGGTATTCTCAAGCATTGAAACAATTCCTGTATATACATATATAACAATTTCTTTCTAGAAATATAAAATTAAAATTTTAGCATATAAAGTAACTCTATAGGAAAAATTTGCAACTTTAAATGGCATAGTGTATAATTATTTTTTAACACTCAGATCATTTTGTTTTTTATTGAAGGTAGCATTTGAAAACAGCCTAAATTAGACCTATTGTATTTTGAAGTTAGAATGTACGTGTATATAAACAAATGTAATATTGTAATACAGTTACAGTATGAAGTATTAAGTAATACATTGAAATAATGCGCATGTTGTTTTTAAAGATAGTTCTTATCCGCTTTTGGACAGCTGTAATTTCTTCAAAAATCTATAATAATCTAATTCCTGATTAAAATCCTGTTATTCTTATACTATATCTCAAATTTGCAGGCGACTCTAGTTATACGTATGTAAGTACGTATGAAATATTGTAAATATAAGAAAGGATACCAGCATCTTGTTAAAACCTAGAAGCAAATCTGCATCCATATATTAGCCTGCTCTCCCAATAGTGATACATAATGTAGTAGTATTATAAAGTTATTATGTATACATATATACATATGTATGTGCATATGGTGGTCATTTACTATATCACTGTACCCTGTTTAGAGTATCTTTCTTAGCACCAAACATTGTGAACTAGTGTTTAAATATTTTAACAATTGATATGAAATTTTTTAATATACAGTAATGTGAATCAAGAATAATACTTATTGTATGCCAGCATTTAATATATCTCATTTTGGCTGTAATTCAAGCTCTTAATGCTTTATCTTGCACAATATATTCATATTATTGTAAACTTAATATAAAGTTTATAGCCTGTATATATTTTAAATATTCGCTATCAAATTTTTAGTTGGCCTCTGTTTAATATTCTTATATATCTTCAGGTTATTTTTTAAAAATCTTGTACTGTATTTTTTTTTTAAAAAAAAAAAATGTTACAACAATCAACTATTGACACTTTAAAGCCTATTTATAATTTGATTGAATTAGGATTAGAAGATTATAAAGAAAATGAACTTGTTCTTGATACTATTCATAATTTAAAATTATTTTTTGAGAATTCCAATAATTGTACTTGCTGTCAAACTCCAAAACAAAGAGATCTTAGAACTTGCTTTGAAAAAGTAGAATTTAAACGCTTTTTTGAAAGACATTTTGAGTTAAAAGCTTTAGAAGAACAAGAACATGAACTTTTTATAAAATCACAATTATTGTCATTTGAAATTACTAATAAAAAATCAGATAATAAAATGTCTGAAAAACATATATATAAATTTAATTATAACAATTTTTTACCGCTTTGTAAGCCTGCATACTTAAAATTGTATAGAATTAATAGTTACTTACTTTTTATCTTACAAACTCATTTACAATTAAATGGAGTGACTGAACGTGTTCACAGAAATACTGGACGTGCAGCTAAAACAAAATCAAAAGTTTTTTTAGATTTTAATGTAATATTCCCAATTAAGCAATTTTTAATATAATATAGAACAATTTACGGACTTTTTTCTTCATTATGGCATTAAGACGATTCAGGTGTTTTTATTTATCTTTCAACTGATCAAACTTACACTTCAGTCTATAATGAATTTAAAAAAACTTTTATCTTACTCATGACCAATCAGAAAAAATAATTTTTTATTTTACTTTTAGAAAATTATGGTACGAAATAGTTCCTAATCTTCGATTTCAGTCACATACAAGCGATCTTTGTGAAGTTTGCACTTCTTATAAAGCAAAACTATCAGTTGCAAAGCAAGATATTGATGAATATAATAAAGTTCAAGTTGAATATGACTAACATAAAAAAGCTGTGAATCTTAAAAGACAGCATTATAATAATAATGTTGAAGAAAGTAAAAGTAATTTGGATGTTACACATATTTGTTATGATTGAACGCAATATATCTCTATACCATATTCACCACAACAAGAAGGTTCGCTTTATTTTAAATCTTCTTTTTCTGTACATGTTTTTAGCATTTGCAAAACTAGTGAGCAAAATTATCAATTAATTTTTAATTGGCGAAAATGAACTTCCTAAGAGGTTTCAAAGGATGCTAATATTATACTAAATAAGGTTTATAGTTTTCTTCAAAAAATAAATTCTAAAAAAGCAAAAAAATTAAGTGTTATTTGTGATAATTGTAGTGAACAAAATAAAAACAATTTGTCACTTTGGTTTTGGTCATGGTTATGTTCATTAGATTGGTATAAGGAAATTATTGTTAATTTTATGCTTCCCAGCCACACAAAGTTTATTTGCGACTCTTTTTTTGGACAAATTAAAAAAGTTTATAGAGATAATCATGTTAATATCATTGATGATATTGAAAATATTGTGAATAATTTATCAAAAGAAAATGATGCAATTCAATATAAAGATGATAAAGGGTAGGTTTGGCATGACTTTAGTTCTTTTTTTAACAATAATTTTATATCTTGCCAAGTATAAAACAATATCAGTATTTTCGATTTAATAGTTCAGAAATTGGAAAGGTTTATGTTTCAAAAAAATCAGATAGAGAGGAAATTTCTTTTCAATTATTATATAATGATACTTTTGATAAAAATTGTAAATTAGATACTATTTTTACTGTACTATTATCACATGATCGTAAAAAATATTTATATACTGTTATAGAACCGTTTATTATTTTATTAGATTAATATTCCGATATTGTATAATTATTATTGTTATTATTT